AATCTCTTTCAAAGTTCAAAACTTCTCCAAAGTATCCAAAGACTTCCCAAATGTCCAGAGGTTCTCTAAAATATTGAACATCTTTCCAAAACATACAGTGTTCTCTGAATATCCAAGTCTCTAAAATCCCAAAATCTCTCTAAAAGTTCAGAGTCTCTCAACTGTGGGTGCCTATAAAATAAACAACAACAAAAATAGTTACATCCCTTCTTATTCCAAGAAGGAAGAACCAGGGCACAGTCACAGTCAAATTAAAGCTAGACTAAACTCTAACCAGGCTAATGACTCACTGTCAAATGTCTGGTATTCATACCTCTCTGATTCTGCCGTTAATAGCATATGCAGCTTCTCTTATGGGCTCAGAGCAGCTCCACTCCACAGCTGCTGTTGTCCTTGCTGATTGCCCCATGTTACTGGCATCTCCAGAATGCTGGGGAATCTGTAGCTGGGCTTTACCTTCTGTAGTAGCCTCTTCAAAACTCTAGCCCTGCCACATAGTACCAAGCCTTATAATCCTTAGCTACTCTCCATGACCCCTTCATGCTTTCAAAACCAGTACCATTCGAGTAATATTCTCTCTCTTCTCCCATCCCTCCCTCTCCTACTTTCTTCCTCCCCCCCCCCCGTGTGTGTGTGTGTGTGTGTGTGTGTGTGTGTGTGTGTGTGTGTGTGTGTTTTCTGAGACAGGGTCTCTCAATGTAGTTCTGACTTTCCTGGAAATGACTGTAGATTAGCAACTTGTGTATCAGGTTGGCCTCGAAATCACAGAGCTCCATCTGCTCCTCTCTCTCCAGTGCTGGGATTAAAGGCATGGGAGGCTACTACACCTGGACCATCTTAGTGATTCATACACATTACCAAGTTTGGCTGCCAGCAGGAGATACAGCCTCAGCCCCCAGTATGTATGAGTAAACACTCCCAGATTTAATCTTCAATAGTGCTAGTCTTTTGTTAATCACTACTCATTTCTAAAGCAAAGATTTCACTTCAGTGATGCTGGTCTCTTGTCAATCATGGCTCATTCTTCAGTGCCAGATGACCAGAACTACAGATTATTTCAGAATGGCACATAAATGTGTCCAGCAAAGTCTTCACTTTCCTCTGAAATTCCACAAGCCAAGCCTCCATCGTCTGCAGCGCTCTCTGCATTCTTACCTTCCAAACTGCTACAACATCCTATTACACTTCATTGTTTTCTTCAGCCCAAAGTTCCATAGTCTTCCCTAAAACACAAGGTCAGCTCTGTCATAGCAATACCTTATGGCCTAATAACTAATTTCTGTCTTAGGGTTTTCATTGCTGTTATTAAGATCATGACCATAAGCAGCAGCTTGGGAGGTTTATTTAAGCTTATTCATCACAATCATGTATGGAATTTGAGGTTGAAGCTCAGGACAGGAAACTGGATGTAGGAACTGAACCAGAGACTGAGAAGGATCACTACATACTGACTTGCTCTTCATGACTTATTCAACCAACTTTTTTTTGAACCCAGGACCACCAGACCAGGGATGGCACCACCCAATGTTTACCTGTGCTCTCCACATTAATCACCAGTTAAGGAAATGCACCACAGTCCAATCTGGTGGCGGCATTAAATGACTCCAGCTTCTGTCAAGTTGACATAAAAACTAATATTTCATTTTCTTAAGTGTATTTGTCACAGTTCAGAAGATTTTAATTTTGATGAAGATCAGTTTGTCATTGTTTTTATGGCTAGATATGCCATATCTAAGAAGTCTTTGTGAGACTCCCAACTCATGTGTGCTTTTTATGGACATTTATGCTTTTTATACCTTGAGTTAATTTTTTTTATAATGTTTGAAGTTCAAGTCCAGGTTGAATTTTTTAAACTTTATAAATGAATGTCCACTTACTCCTCCATTTCTTGAATGTTAGACATTCAAGTGGTAAGAGTAGATTTTGTTTGTGTGTAATGAAAGAGAAATCCTTTATTTAAAAGCAGGGGATTGGACATTCCCCAGGCGGAAGTGGATGAGTAAACTTGGAAGGCAGATGTACAGCTTTTGACAGAATTTCTAGTCCTTTATTGTCCTTTACCTAGCACCCACCTTCCAGGGGCTCTCCTGGGGCACTGGTGAGCACCATAGCTGTACTTACTTTCACAGTGCTGAGTAATTCCCATGTATGCTGGGCAAGTGCCCTCTCCTGAATTGTAACTCTTTCCCATATAAACCTTGAAATCAGTTTGTTCCTATTCACCAGGAATACTTACTGGAATTATGTTAGGTCCTTGAGTCAATTTGCAGAAAACTTTTGGCGTTTAAAGTAGGGAAGTTGGGTTCTAGGGTTTAAACTCAGGGCCTCATACATACTGGATAGGTGCTCTGCCTTTGAGCTATAACCTCAGCTTTCAAAATCTTTTATCAAGTCCAATTTAGCAATTCATGAACACAGTATGTCTCTTCATTTGTTTTTCTTGAGTGATTATTTTGTGGCTTGATTTATCCCCCAGTATTTCATTTCCGTGTGTCTGCTTTCACCTGTTTCTCTCTGGTGCTTGGGTAGATGATTATTATTGTTTGTGAGAACTTTGGATCTTGTACTTTTGCTGAATGCATTCATTAGAATCAGGGAGATTTTGTATAGTGGCATTTCATTTGTATTTTAATAAATAAAGCTTGCTTGATGATCAGAGAGTAAAACAGCCACACTGGTTAGCCTTACAGCCAGGCAATGTATACACACACTTTTAATATCAGTTGTCCCACTAGTTGCTATAGATACTGGGTGGTGCATGCCTTTAATCCCAGTGGTGCACACCTTTAATCCACACCCTAAAGAGGATTATAAAATGGGAGGAGACAGCTCTCAGTCTCAGTCTCAGTCTCATTCTGAGATTTCTGAAGGCAAGATTACCATTTTGGGCTGAGGTTAAGGTATGAGCCAGTGTCTGCCTGCTTTGCTTTTCAGATCTTCAGGTTGAACCCCAATTTCTCTCTGAGTTTTTATTAATCGTGCTTCAATTTTGTTTTTGGTTTGTTTTGTCTTACATTTCTTTGTATATGAGTATGTGTGTGTGTGTACATACTTTCAAGCCACAGCTCACATGTGGAGGTCAGAAGACAACTTGGGAAGCTGGTTCTCTTTTTTAACCATGTGGGTCCTAAGGATTGAACCTCAGGTCATCAGGCACAGCAGGCATCTTACCCATTCACAAGCCATCTTGCCTGCTGGCCATGATTTCTGGTGTGTGTGTGTGTGTGTGTGTGTGTGTGGCGCGGGGGGCGGAGGTGCTGCTGCTGTTTTCATGTATAATTTAACTTTTCTGCATTGATAATTATGCAGTCCTCTTGAACTTCTTTTCTGAGCTTTATGCTGTCATCGATTTCAACTACAGTTCTATCAAATCTATATTAATGGTCAGAACTTCCTCTTGTTCCAGCTGTAAGTGTCTGGTTTCTTTGCTTTGTACTGGCTAAACTATATTGGTTTTGAGAAGGTGTTTTTATGATCAGTTTTTAGGTATTTTTATTAGCTTGGTTTTACTTTGAAATTTTTCTAGAATAGTATGTGTAAAGGATTATTTACATAGTCAGGTTAAAAACTTTTCTTTGAATGGGTAAGAGGGGGGTCCTCATTTGATATGACTGTCTTTAAGATACCATATCTCTTTATAGGGAAGACCTTTAAAATATATTTTTATTTGATTTGTGCTGTAGATTAGCTAAAATCTTTTTTGTTTTTGATACATAGAAAAAGTTTTGGATTGTGCCGGCATCAGACTCTTGACTATAGTTTTTATTAAAAAGTCATCAGCAACAAAATATTTTACATATTTTACAACTTCTGAAAATCCTTACCAAACAACGTATTTATAAGAAAGCCCACTGCTTAAAAAGGATTTCGGTCCTGTGATTTTTGGAGCAAATAGAATATAATTCTTAGTTTATGTACTGGGATTAATTGTTGTCTAAATATATTTATGCTGCTATATCAAAAACTCCTTAGTGAGTAGCTTATATTCCATAGGATTTTATTTTCCACAGCTCTGAAAGCTAGGAAATCTAAGATGGAGGTGAGAGCTGATTGGTGTTTGATGAGGACCCGTTCCTCATAGATGCTTCATGTGTTGTCTTCCTTCTTTTACAATGTGTTTGACTTTGATTATCCCCGCCCCCGCCAAGAATATTTCTAGTGTAAGTTTTTCTCAGTGAGCTGTCTTGATTCTGTTGGAGTGTGACTATCATTCAGTCTCAACAACATTTTTGCCTTATATAGCAGTAAGATTTTCTTGAGAATTGAACATTTTTCCTCTTCTAGAAAAACTGAGGGGCTTATCCAGTGGTATTTTGTTTTTACTTTGTCTTTATAAAAATACATAACTATTTTTATATATAATCACTTTGATGAAATCCTTTTTCATAAGACATAATTTGTGGTTACCTTCTGTACTGTTGCCTGAAGACTGAAAATTTGTACCTTGTAGTATTGGCCATTCTGAACTAAACTACATCACTCAAGATTTTTACCATGAAGACAAATACAGAGTAAATCCATGAGTCTTATTTGTAAGTGTTTGTAGTGAGAACATTTCTCTCTGAGTACTGGTTTTACCTCTTTTTTGGGTAATTTCTATGAAATTGCCCTAATCTCTTCCACCCTCACTGTGTAATTTTTTTTGTTTGAACAGTCAGTGAATACCCTTTCAGTGTGTTTGTGAAAGTTATGAGAGTGGTTTGTAAATCATACAACATTCTAGAACTGTGCTCTGTAATGTACAAGCACTGTTTGATTTCCTTTTCTTCTTCTGTCTACACTTCCTCTTCCCTGAACTTTGTCTCTTCTTTGTAAAGGTGAGAGACTAGGAGTTAGTGAAGCGAAGACATCAGGAATGTGCCCTTGGCTACTAGGGAGTCAGTATTCATTTTATTATGTAATTTTATTTGGGAATAAATACAGAAATTGGTTTAATGATACTTTCTTTTTCCCTCAGCATCTGTATAAACATGGACTTTCTTTTCTCCCCCATCTTCTAGATGCAGCAATTGGAGCTCGCCCAGATCCAGTACAGAGATGCTAATCTCACAGCTCTTGCAGCTATTGGACCACGGAAGAAGAGATCACTAGAGTCAGGAAATGAGGTACTAATCATAGTACTTGTAATTTTTTTTTTAATGTCCAGAAAGTACGCAAAAAAGAAAACAAAAGACACGAGGTGTTGAAATAGTCTATCTTGCTCTACTTGCTGCCAAACTTTTCTTGAAATTCTTCTTTGACAGTTTTATAAAATAGATTTTGCCAGTTTTTTTCAACTCGATTCTTACATACTCTGTTGTTCTTTCTAGTCACTATCTCCAGGTATACTGAATATCACCATTTCCATTTTTAAAAGCTCTGTATTCTAACATTTGCAAACATTTATTTTTAGCGTGTGTGTGTGTATGTGAGCGTACACCTGTGAAAATAGATGACTACAGTGGACAGATTGTGTTAGATCTCCTGGAACTTGAGTTACATGTGGTTTTGAGCCATCTGAGATGGTGCTAGAAATTGAACTTGGTTCTTCTGCAAGAGCAGTATGTACTCTTAAGGACTGATCCATCAACTCTAGGCTCCTCTAATATTTTTATATAAGACTGCATCTGCCCCTGCACCTGGGCACAAAATGCGTTTATATGGCTTAATGATTCTTTTATCCTTTCCTAAATACCATTTTTAGAATTTTAATTATTTTGTGCACATTTGTGTGTGACTGGATTATACACACTCTTGCCAAAATGCGCATATGGAGATCAGAAAACAGCCGGCCAGCCTCAGTTCCCACTTTCCACTTTCTCAAGGCATGGTCTTTTCTTGTTTTTGTTGCTGTATTGCTCACTTCAGGTTATCTGGCCTGCAAGATTCCAAGTGATAATCCCATCTCCACCTCCCATTTCTCCTTAGGAATGCTGGAATGTGCCATTATATCCTAAAATCTTTTAACATAATTTAACATAATAATATTTAATAATTTAACATAACAACATTTAACATAAATGAATCATAATTTATTCAACCACTTTCCAATAAATACTCAGGTCATTTTCAGGCCTTTGCTTCAGTGTTTCTTAGGATTTCCTTTTATTTAAATTATTGTGTAAGTGAAGTTTTGGAAATACTTGGTTGGGTTAAAAAAATACCCGTATCTGGGAAAAAAAATTTACTAGAAATACTGAGGCATACACAAAGGTAGAGAGCAGCGTGAAAAGCTCGTGTCTGCCTTACCTTTTTCTGCTCTGCCAACTGTCACTTTTGCCTACTGTGTTTTATTTATGCCTATATCACCTCTATCAGGCTAGGAAGGTTTTTACCATTTGGGCTGTTGTAAAGCCCAAGAGTCAGTAGCATTTTATTAATAATAATATTTCTTCATTTTTTTAGTCATTTCTAAAAGTGTAAATAGGAAATGATTAGCTTGACTTCTCATCACTTGTCACGTCTCAGTTTTTCTTTTTCCCACATACTTTACAATTAATTAAAGAAATAGAAACCATTTCTCTCATTTTCTTTTCTGTTTTTCTGTCTTTATTCATCTAAAGTATACTTGTTTGTTTGCTTTGCTTTTACATTTGAAAACTTTAATTTTCTTTTAAATAAGGCTTCCATTATTGTTTTTTTCTGTTTATATTCTCATTAGAATTCTCTGTTTTGTTTCTTTTAGTTTTATTTTTAACTCACTGTGTAGCTCAGGCTAGCCTTTGACTTGGATCCTTCTGTCTCAGCTTCTAAACTCAGGGATTGTAGCCAACATGGCTATGAAGCCCCTTTTTAATTAGAATTACATGCTAATACTTTTAGTATTTTCACATTGTACTTTTTAGGTTTAAAATTTTTAAATATGTCTGACATTTTTTTATGGTGCTGGGTATTGATTGAACCCAGGGCCTTCCACACTTATCTAGTGTTTCTTTCTGACTCGGTATAGTGAACTTCTCTGTTCTACCATGGTTTCCCTGTCTTGATGAACTGACCTCTCTGATACTGTGAGACTGAATGAATCTTACCTCTCAAAAAATTAATAAATTTGATTTAAGTTTATTCCCAAGTCTCTAAATTAGAGCTGAAGTGGAGATTAGCCATGGTAATGGTGCATCCTTACAATCTCAGTGAAGCCAGGAGTTCACAGTCAGCTTTGCCTAGATAGCAAGGTTGAACCAGGTTTGGGTATATAGTATATAGTGAGACACTTTCTCAGAGGGCTGGGAAAGTTGTTAACGCATATTTAGTTTTATTTCTTTGGTCCTTATAACTAGTCAATGCTGTTTACTCAATAATTCTGAACTTACTGATTTGAAATGTCACCTTTATCACATTCAAATTTGAATTGAATCATATGTATTCATGTCATTGATGCATACTGTGAACCTGTCCTAGTAGATTTGCTATGAGTGTGAAAATATTTTGTGTCTGTTACATGTGTTGTTTAGTTCAGAAATGAAGCTAGCTAGTATAAGGGAGGAAATTCTCAACTTTTATGTGAACAGAAATTTTAATATTCACTTGTGGCTTCTGACTATTTTATTGGGCAACACAAAAAGACTTACTCTGGCATATATCTTAGTTTGTTAGTTATTATTGTTAGTTCTGTGGATTACATTGAGAGCCGCACGTAATCTGTCAGTGAGATGAATCCTGGCTCTTGAAGATCTATTAGTATTTCATTCTCAAAACCTTTTTAAAATACCATCTGAACGATTTTAAGTGTGTAGGTAATTAGTATTGAACATCTTCACATTTTTGAAAGATCTTGCATACTTTTACATCTTTACTAAAACACTGTTCTGATTAAACAATTCTCCGTCTCTCCATTTCCTAAGCCCCTTGTAAACCTTATGCCATTCTGCTTCTATAAATTAGACTACTCAGCTACACATGTAAGTGGAATTATTATTCTCTCTTTCACTACTAGCTTATTTGACTTAGCACAATGGCTTCAATGTTTCAGATCATAATATATACTTAAAAATGTGGTAAAGCTGGCTCATCAGAGAAGTTACTTTCTTTTTCCCTAGCACTGGAAAACCCACTACCCTTTGTTTTTTGTCTATATGTACGTAAATCTGGGTAAATGTCAAAATGGAATATGATATTTCATCAAGAATATGACTATGAACAGGTCTTCTTACCATATTTTTTAAAAACACACTTAGTAGCTGTGTTTAATAGTTACTCATTTAAGAATGGTTTATAAGCTCCTGACCAACTTTTTTACTCTACTGACATTATATAACATAGTCTGTCAGATTATTTCATGGAGAGAACTCATTGCAGCACATGGGGTAATAAATAAGTACATGTACAGGTGTGAGCTTGATTCGTGAATCTGGTAAACTTTTAAATTTGGAGGTGTCCTTTAAACCTCATTCATCAATTATTCCAGTAGGTTGAAATGGTATAGCACTTACTTTGTAATGTTTTATGGATGGATTTTTATAAATTCTACTATTAAGTAAATGCTTAATAGTTTATCTTTGCCATCATAATGGAAATAGCATTGTTTCAGTTTGAATGGCTCAGAGTTAGTTTGAAGTGCTGACCACTAAACTAGGTCAGTGGTTCTCAACTTCAGTAATGCTGCAACCCTTTAATACAGTTCCTCATGTGGTAACCTTACCCCCATTCACTTTAAAATTATTTTGTTGCTACTTTGTAGCTGGAATTTTGCTACTATTATGAATCATAATGCAAATATCTGATACACAGGATATCTGATATGCAACTCATGTGAAAGGGTTGTTTGACTCACAGGTTAAGAAGAGGTTACGACTCACAGGTTAAGAACCAGAACTCTAGGCTTTCATTTTAGTCTCATTTGACTTTGTTGCAAATTTTAGAAATATTAAATCCTGATTTCTTGTAAGATTTATTTTTAAATTTATTTAGTATGTATGTGTATGTATGAACACATGATACAGCATGCCTGTGGAGAACAGAGGAGAACTTTATAGAGTTGGCCCCTTCTTCCACCTTTCTACCAAGTCTGAGGATGAATTCAGGTCTCCATGTTTCCATGGCAAGCATCTTTAACACCCAAGCCATCTCACCAGCCCCAATAGAGTTTTACATGCCTTTCCTTCATTATGTATTTATGTCTTCAGGTATCCAGTGTGAAAGTCAGTGTGTGTAACTTGTCTGTGTTGAATTTTTCTGGGGAGACACAAGTATCTGTCTACTCCAGTTGGGTACTAACCACAGACCAAAGTACAGTGGTCACCAAAGTCCAGCTTGTTGAGACTAATGAGCTTAAAGGTCTTGCTTACACGCTGAGGTGAGGAGTTACTTACAGGCGTCCTGAAACAGCTACATCATCTCAAAAGTTTCACCCCTCATATATGGCACCCTTCACCTGGAAGCTGCATCCTGAAGCCATCTATCTTTCGCCCTTACACTGCTTTATCATGCAGTGTCCTTTAAGATGCCCACCTGTGGGAGGGGAGAGTAACTGGGATTCCAGAGTAGGGATCCATACCCGCCTTTTCTCCCTTTACTAACTGTAGCAATGGGATAAAGTCCACGCAGAGGAATTCCACCTACAAATACTGTCTACCAGTATTAAAATGCAAAATACTAATTTTTTAATTTCAAAAAGTTAATCTTTTTTGAAAAACATCTTATACCACAAATTATTCCAGCACATTCTGTTGTAGGTATTCAGATTTATTTTAGAATAAAACTTAGGGTCCTATTAATATTAGGGATTGTAGTAGCTTATTTTCCCCCAACTGACTTGTTCAAGTTATTTTAGAATAGTTTGTTTGGGAGTGATAGCATGGAGAGGAGGAAGAGAATTTTCCAAAGGATAAGAATTGTAACATGAGGGGGCCAGCTTGGTTGAGGCAGCGGAAGTTACTCCCACAACAAAGAATGAAGAAACAGCAACAAAAGTAAGGATAAATAAATAATGATGCTATAAAAGTCATTTAAGCATTTCTTCGTATTTTCTTTGTCATTTTGGGTCCCCATACATAAGCTGCAAAGTCATAGTTCTACTCTACTAAACACCTCTAGTCCTATGGAGAATGAGGGTATCTTATTAGACTGTACTGTGTTTTAAATTAAAAATACAAAGATACACCAGGATTCTAAAGTCCACCAGAATTTT